CGTATCTCACGCCGCCCGAGTTCCCGGGGGAGAGGCCGATCGAGACATCCCCGTAACCCCCGCGCGGCGCGCGCCCCGAGGTGAGGTCCAGCGCTGCCAGGACACGTTGCGCCGAGCCTGGGCTGACGCGGCCGGGCGGGAACTTCCGCAGGTTCTCCAGACCGGCTTTCCATGTGGTGCTTTTCGGGGATAGGCGGCCTCGTGGACGTGGATTTCAAGTCCTCTGTCTGAGATCCAGTTTTGTTCTCGGCGGGATGGCTTTCCGCCGCATCGGGTATGTCTTGGGATCCACCAGCGACGGCGGCAAAGCATCGGACTCGCGATCTGGGCCCCTCAGTATGCTCTCCGATCTCGGGGCGAAGCCCAGGACCTGCGCCAGGCAGGTTTGGCGCTCGCCCAAGGGGTTGGCAGCGGGCATGGGGTGGGGGCCCTGGCGAATGACACGGTCGACCTGAAGGCTGCTGGGTAGCCGAGTATGCTGGGGCGTTGCAGCGCTGGTTGCCAAAACGGCATTGATATAAAGGGCGGCCGCGAGGCCCGCCGGTGGGCCCACGAGCTTCTGCCACAGGTGGCCGCCGCTACGCTTTCGGCCGAGGGCCTGGCGTGGTCCGAGCCCCCCTTTGGCGTTCGGAATCCCAGACATCGGGCGTCTCGAACAGATCGAGACGGAGGTTTTTCAACGTTTTCGGCCTCTCGGGGCCCTCGCCAGGCCTCGAGATCGTCAAAAACGACTCGGGATGAAAAACCGGTCCCGGGGAAGTGGTCGGGAGGTCGGGGGCCCGTGTCTCGAAAAAAATCGAGACATTGGATGCCTGGGATTTCATCCTCTTGCTCTTGCGCAGGATCAGACGCCCATCAAGTACCTCGGCGGACTCAGACCGCCCTCCCCCCGACGAGCTGCTCGCCGCGGGCAATTCCGATGCTTGCGGGGTGGCCGCGAGCATCGATGGTTTCCATTTGAGGCATGTTGCGCTGCTCCGGCCCGACTGGGGACACCGTGCCATTTTTTTGTTTGCGCGGGGCAGGCCACCGCGCTGAGCAGCGGGAGGCCGGAAATCAACCCGCATGCCTTGCTGCTTCCCCCTTCCACTCTGCCCTCGATCTCGCGCGCCGTCGTGCGCTCGAGAAGGAGCGCGCCGTGGGTGAAAGCAAAGGCGCAGCCGCGAAGGAAACCATGCGGTCCCCCAAGCTTCAGGAGGCAAACACACACGCAGACACAATTCATCGTCGATTCCCAGGAAAATGTGCGAAAATATGGGAAGTGGGGGGGAAGACGAAAATCCCCCAAAACATTGCAAAGCATGGGGAATCTCAGGATTTGTGTGCACTCGGTTGTGTGTTCCCGGGCCCCTTCAAAGCTCCTGGACAGACGCGGCCAGCTTCGGCCCCCGGGGCAAATTTCCAGGCTCTGCGCGCTGGCCTGCTGCGGGGCCCGTGGCACCCCCGTGGGCAGCCTCTTTCGCGTGCCTCGTCTCTGCGCCCGCGGAGTCGTCGCTGGCTGGGGCTTCAATCCGGAGGGGACAAAAACACACAGACGCAATTCATCGCCGATTCCCCGGAAAGTACGGGAACATCTGGGAAGTTGGGGGGAAGACAAGAAGAACCCAGAAAATAAAGGAAAATATGGGGAATCCTGTTATCTGTGTCTACTGATTCGTGTGTCCCAGGGCCCCTTCAGTCATTCCGACCACCCTCGGGTTGCCTTCTCGGGTTCAGCTAGGCATGTACACTGGCGACTGCAGTTTCTCGAGCAGTGCCTCTCTCAAGCCGGTCGCCTCGCCCCCCGAGCAAGCCTCGGCAGCCTTCTCTCTAGCCGCTCTCGAGGAGCACATGGGGGAGGGCACGTCGACCGAGGCGGTCCGCAGTTGCTGCTTCCAGCACCCCCAGGCCGGCAGCGCGTGGAAGTTCCCTGCGGGGCCCGCGGCGGCCGCGACAGCCGCTCCCGCGCAGGCAGCGACCTCGGCACCGGCGCCAGAGCTTGCAAGGGCTCACCGGGCGAAAGATCGGGGAAGGAGCGCCGCTGCGCGTGTCCAGATTGTCAGGAAGAGGTGCAAGAACCAGCGGGGCTCGCCAGGCGCTCGCGAGCCCGGCAGACTCTCGGGAGGTTTCAGTTTCGGGCCCCCGGGTTTCCGCCGCCTGCTGTTCAGAGTTTCCGTGGGCATCCGTCTGCGAGATTCGGGCCGGACGAAAAGGGGGGCCTTGGGAAAGGGGGGGTTACGAAATCTGCTGCAATGCTGCATGCAGCTGGTTTCGGCCCCACCGAGGGGCCCATTCCTCGATACATAGCCGCCTCTGGCGCTGGGAGGCGCCGGACAAATCAGCAACGTGAGCTGGTTCTCAAGCCCCCCCCCCCTTTGCTGTCCCCCCCTTTCGCCTGGCCCGAGAGATGGGATTGCCGAGGGCGGGGTTTGGCTAATCGGGTAAACTCGGGGCGTAGCCCAGACCTTCGAGGCGCTGTGCATCTTGGCAGTCGGTCCAGTCTCCCTCGCTGCTATTGCTCCCGTTGCCAGGATCTCCAAGGATGGATACTCGGGACGCCCAAGTTCAGCAAGGCTTTTCGCCTTCGGTTTTGCCAGTTTGTGCGAGGCACGGGAGCCCACCGCGGCCACCCCGCCTACCCCGCGGTTGCAAGGGGGCGGTCCGATGGGCGCAACGCATCTTCCGCTTGCCAGGATGGGTTGGTCACTGCCATCCTTCGCCCAGTTCAAGAGTACCACGAACGCGGCACACTCCCTCACCCCAACCTTTCCCAAAGTGTATCAACGCGCTGCTGCGCGGGATCGTGATCCGCACTCCGCACTCTCTGCCAGCTTTCAGGGGGAGAGCCCGGGCTTCAAAACAGAGTGTCCTTCGCAACGGCCTTCCGTGGTTCGGGCCATTCACGCTGCGCCTGCTTCGAGAAAGGTTGTATTCGGACCGACGCTTGCAGTGCCTGCTGGACCCCGGAAAACGCTCAGGACTTCGGTTACCAGTTGCCTGAAACCAGGTGTGCTCTGTGCGGGGGACCGGTTACCAGTTGCCTGAAACCATGTGTGCTCTGTGCGGGGGACCGGATTCCATCTGGCACCGATTTTGGGTCTGCCTTGCTGCCGACGAAGTCAACGGAGTTGCGCGGTAGCGATGTGCTTCAGGCCAGGCAGGAGTTGAGCATCGCTTTCTGCTCGGCCAAGACGCCCACGCTCTTTGCCAAAGGAGTTCCGCCCCATCCGGGAAGGGTGCCCGGTGGGAAGCCGCCCAGCACGTCCCAGACGACCAGGCTTCCCACGGGAAGGCATGACTTGATGGACCCGAGGAGGAGGAGGAGGAAGAGGAGGAGGAGGAGGAGGAGGAGGACCCAGCTCTGAAAGCAGCTACCCTTTCCCAGCGCGGCGCCGAGGCTGGCCACCTCCCGCGCGGACATGCTCGAGGACGACAGGCGCCGCTCCACCCGCCGCCGTCACCCCCCTCCCCTGGCTGACTGGGGTCCCTCCTCCGCCGCTGGGGGCGCCAGCCCCACGTCTACGCGGCGCCCGTGGCGGGCGCTACTCGCGGCCCTTCGACGCATCAGGAACGGGAGGAGGGACGTTTAGAGGCAGCCGTCTTTTGCATTCGGGGGGGGGGGCGGGGGCGGGCCCTCGTCGCCCTGGCCAAGCGCAGTTCGGGAAAAATGGTGCGGTTGGACACCGCGAGGGGTCCAGGGATGGTTTATGAACTGCCGCTGTTTCGGTTCGCCCTGTTCCGAGTGGTCTTCGTCGTCGTAAACTGACGGCGATGGTGGTGGTGGTGTTGGTGGTGATGACGGCGGCGACAACGATGATATGGAGTTGGGGTTGCCGTTGTCTCAACTCATCCTGCTCTGAGAGGTGGTCGGGCCTGCTGCCAGCCGCAAGGGAAACTTCAAGAGCAACGCGAAAGGGAGGTGTCGAAGGAGACTGATCGACCCCCAACCGCCCACTGATCGCATGCGGTGGCCCGATGGCCAGTCCCGCCCAGGAACGTGCGAACGCTCGTGGCTGAACAGCTGGGCCGTTTTGGGGACCTTCGTGGGTCCTCTTGGATGCCCTTGGGCCCCTGGGCCTCTGTCTCAGGCCTCTCTGGGCCATCCTGGCGCCTGGCGTCCCTTCGCAGTGTCGGGACTGGTTCGGAAGGTCGCTGGGCTGTCTGGGGAGGTCTGGGGGCTGTGGGTCTTCCTTGGGCTATATTTTTGGCGGCCGTCTTTGAGGCCAGCCCGGGCCTTTCAGATCCGATCGATCCGATCCGATGCGGTTTGATTCCGACTCCGCGCCCACGCGGCCCGATTCGATTCATGACCCGATTCGATGTATCGATTCTAAGCTGACGAGTCGCCGATCCCGGTCAGCTGTGAGCCTCTGGGCCTGTCCTGGGGTCTTCTGGGCCGTCTGGGTGATTCCTCGAGTGCCTGGAGTCCATCTTTTGGCCATCTGAAGCGAAACAAAAAGTGAATGCAAGCAGCTTAGAATATCTGGATTGCGTCTACTCGGGAGCGCTTCGACGAGCAGCATGGCTGCTTGGCGCAATGTTAGGCCGTCTTGGGGCCACCTCGAGGCTTCGTGGGGCCATTCCAGAGCCAGCATTTGCGATCCTTGGTGTTCTGGGGGTGGCAATCAGCGGCCTGAACTGGGTCAGTATGGAAGGATCTCCGCAGTCGGATAGCGGCTGGATAGTGGAGGTTGCTCAAGATTTCGAGGAGGACGAGGAGGAGGACAGGTAGGAGGAGGAGGAGGAGGAGGAGGAGGAGGAGGAGGAGGAGGAGGAGGAGGAGGAGGAGGAGGAGGAGGAGCAGTCGGATAGCGGAGGTTGCTCAAGATTTCGTGGGTTGCGTGATGCACGGGGCCACCGCACGTGTCGTCACAGCAGAAGCCAGCTGTGCGTTGCTGGTGTTCATTCCCCACAGGTGGTGCACAGCCTCAAAGTTCCTAGACCTCCGAGTTCTTGTTATTCATTGCTGGCATTTTTCCATCGACCTCGCCTCCTGACGGCAGTTCTCGGCCCATAGGGCCTTCGGCGCACGATCCAGGATGAAAAACAAGTCCCAGGGGAAATGGTCAGGATTTCCAGGTTGCAGCCGGCTGGGGGTCTGAGGTCCCCCGGCCGCTTCCAATTTCAGGGACCCTGTCGTGAAAAGACGACGTCGGAGGTTTGGCCACATGTCTACTTCTCATGCCCATGAAAGGATGTCCTCGCTGTTGGTGTGCGCAGCACGTCGCGCCGCGTGAGTGCCCTCATCTAATGAGGACGGCAGGCGCGCTCGGCGCATGCTTGCGCGCTCCGCGCGTACATATCTCGCATGTGTCCCAGATCAATGAATATACTGGCCTTCGGACCATCCCGCGTCCACGCCTGGGTTGTAGGTCAAAGGTCTCTTGGCAGGTTTTGGGGCGCTCGCGGCTCCGAAAAAATCATGCGGGAAGCGCCGGGGAACCACAGGAGGCACGCCTGGAAACCCAGAAAATTTTAGACGCTCCGCGTAACCTCACCAACCATGGACGCCCGGTCCTCCCCCACGCAGCCTCCCCAGGGTCGACCTGCTCCCCTGGCCTGGCGCCACCGCCTTTAGTTCTGGACGCGGCCTTTTCCACTGCCTCGTCGCCTCCGCCGCTGCTATGGTGCCCTGGCGTCGCTTCCCCTGCTTCCCCGCCGTAGTTGCGCTTCCGCCACGCCCGCTTTTGGCGATCCGGAACACTTCCGTCGATCGCCTGCACGCAAGTTCATCGTTCTCTCCGGCCTCGGGGTGGTCTTCGAGTTCGACGTCATCTTGCTCTTCGCCATTTTGGCGGTGCGCGTTGACTTGGGGCTGCTCTGGGTCCCCCACGCTTCTGAGTCGCAGCGTAGTTCGCTCCTGCGCGCTTAGTGGGTAATATAAGCCGTTTCTAGTTTGGAAGTTCTTGGACGGCGCGCGGCACTTCCGTTTGCGCTCGCGAGCAAAAAAGTCACCCCGCCAGCCCATCCAGAAACGATGCCCAGGGGAACTGCCTCGATCAGGGAGGTGGGCAGCACACAGAGGAAGGGTCCCCCCAGTGGAGGCCTCTTGGACCTCTTAGAGCGTCTTGGGTGCTTAGGAGAGCTTCTTGGGACCTCTTGGGGGTCTTTTGGGAGCCTCTTGGAGGCCTCGTGGGCGCCAGTCGTCGGCAGGGGCCCCCGTGGGCGCCCGTGGCCCAATTGAAGCGCTTTTGGAAGCCGTGGGAGCGCTCTTGGAGCCTTCTTGGGCCATTTTGGGGCCATCGGGAGGCCTCGGATGGCCATCGGAAGCGAAAAGGCGAGAAACCAAAAACATTGATCGAAGGTTTTGGAAGGATTCGGGCTTCTTCGGGGCCTCCTGGGCAAGCTCTTTGGCCAGTTGAAGCAGTCTTGGAGCGGTCCTGGGGCCTCTTGGTGCATCGTGGGAGGCATATTGAGGCATCTTCGGCTATCTTGAGCCATCTTGGAGGTCATCTAGGGTTCGCCCAGGCGCTTTTGGAGTCATCTTAAGCAGTGCCCCCCCCCTCCCCCCCCCAGCAGGAGGCCAACATGTTGCCAAAACCTTTTTGTGAAATCAATGATCTTGGCATTGTCGCCGAAGCCCTTCGGAACGTCTCGGGTGCCTCTGGGGGGCCTCTGGGGGGCCTCTGGGGGCCTCCTTGGGGGCCTTTTGGGAGCCTTTTGGGGGTATCCTGGGGGCCTCCTGGATGGAGGCCTCTTGGGGCCTCCTGGCCGCTTCTTGGGGCACCCTTGGGAGCCTTGGGAGCGCTCTTGGGGCCATGTCGGAAGACATCGATCAAAAAAAGGGAGCTTCAATTAGGACCCCCGTCTAAGAAACCAATGAGTTCGGTTTTATCGCCGAGGCCGTTCTGGACGCTCCAGCCGCTCGCGAAACGCCCCGTCCAGGTCCAGTGGAGGGGGCAGGGGGAGGGGTCAAGACGCCCTCCCCGCCCGCGAGCCGTCTCGTTCACTCCCACCCGCCCCCCCAACACATACGTAGCACCCGGTCCTGACCCGAGCCGCAGCATATGCAGCAGTCGTCTTTGGATGAGCAATTACTGGGGGCGAATCCGCCGCCGTCGCCGCCGCCCGCCGCCGCTGCCGCTGCCGCGCCGCCGCCGCCGCCGCCGCCGCTGTCCGCCGCCGCCGCCGCCGCCACCGCGCCGCCCGCCGCCGCCGCCGCCGCCGTCGTCGCCGCCGCCGCCGCCCCCGCCGCCGCCGCCGCCCCCGCCGCCGCCACCGCCGCAGCCGCCGCATCCGCTGCCCCCGCCGCAGCCGCCGCAGCCGCCGCCGCCGCCAAGTGTACTCTGTATTGTTTTGTTAACAAAGATGGTGGGGGGGAGGCTACATCGGGTTCGCTGAGCGTGCTCCTACCGGAAAGCCTCAGGGAGGGGAGGGGGAGGGTTCCCCTCCCCGAAGGGAAGAGGGGTTGTGTAAGAACAAAAATCACCCTTAGACCACCTGTCGTCCAAAGGGCTGGTGGGATTTGGGCCGCCCGAGCATTCCTTGGCTCATATTGTTTGCTGCCCTCGTACACGATGTCTATGTGCGTTGAAGGGCGAGAGGGAGATGCAGGAGCCAGTCGAGGAGAAACTGCCCTCCCGAACACAAACATACCTGGGTCGACCCCCTTCCTCCGAGTCGCTGGCCTCTGTGCTGTCGACCCCTTTCTGGGGGGGGCAAGTTTCTCATCCTGGGTCGCTCTTCTGACTGCCTCGCGAAGCCCGAAGCTGGCCTCGGACCCAACCAGGGGGACTTCGGCCAGCGCGATGTGTTCGGAGAGCGGGACGCTGGAGGTCTCGAGGGGATTTTTTTTAATGCGCGGCCCCATCCCGGATCCATTTTAGATGGCCCCGGGACCCGACAATGGGCCCCAGAGGCTGAAACCTATGAATTGTTAGGTGCTCTTTTGCATCATAGGGGAGAGTACCCTTGGATGTGTTGCTTGGTTTGGCCAACGGAGGGTCTCATGCTCTTGAGGGATGCTCTTCTGGCCCAAGTCCGACTTTAATGGGGAGTGACCTACACAGGGGGTGGAGAAAATGGCCCCACTTGTCAGCTATCCTCGGGCGACGACGGTTCGCCCTGGAGGAAATGGGGCCCAGCAGGAAGCGGTCCCCACGGACCCCTCCGGGGCTCCCTGGAGGACCACCGTCGGTTGCCCGTAAGAGTGGCCTTTCGGCGGAGTGACTTCGGGTTCGGGCACACAGGAGGGGCCTCACCAGCACTGGCTGGTGCGCTTAGACTGCTTGGATTTCAAGCCTCCCCCGCGGTCCCCTGCCAGCCGCGCACCACAGGTCACTCCTGCCCAGGGTCACTCTCGCGTGTATTCGACAACGCTTTCCTCCCTGGGCCGTCTCTGAACCGTCCCCGCGGCCCGCGGAAGGCCCCCAGCCGGGCGTTGCCAGAAGTGGCCTTGGCCCAGAGTGCGCCTCTGCAGACGACTCGTTTGTCCTGTGGAAGGCTCTGGGATCTCTTTGGGGCCGTCTTCGAGGCCTCCTGGGACAGCCCTGGCGACCTCGGAGAGCTCCCGGGCCATCTTGAATGGTCGTTTGAAACTTGGCCGCTCGCAGCCAAGTGGGCCTCCTCCTCCTCCCTCCTCCTCCTCCTCGTGGAGCTTCGCCAGGGAGGCGCGGACGGCCTCCAGACCAGCCCTCACGAGGCCCCCAGGGGGATGCCACGAGGCCCCCCAACGGCTGGGAGCGCGTTGAGACTGGGGGGGGGGGGGGGGGGCGAGCTTCCCAGACATCGGGCGTCTCGAAAAATCGAGACGGAGGTTTTTCGTCGTTTTCTGCCTCTCGGGGCCCTCGCCGGACCTCGGGACCGTCAAAAAACGACTCGGGATGAAAAACCGGTCCCGGGGTAGAGGTCGGAAGGTCGGGGGCCCGTGTTTCGAAAAAATCGAGACATCGGATGTCTGGGTTAGTTGATGACCCGACTGGGTTGCCCGAGCTTAGTTGGCGTTCTTGCCGTTGTCAAGAAGTTGCATCTGGAATATGAGAGCGATGCTTCGTTTTTTGTTCGACACCAGAACAGCTCCCAGAAACGGAATAAACAAAAGTGCTCCAGGATTGGAGCCAGACCTGGGCCTGGAAACCACAATTGCGACGGACCCCCCCAAAAAAAGGCGCTGGACCTGGCATACAAATTGCACGACGGAGCCGCTGAACAGACATTATGGGCCTGAGTGCGGCAGAAAAGTCCCCAGGGCCCGGTGTATCCACGGCCCGTCACTGTCATGTTGAACGGCTCGATTCCGACGCTGATTTTTGTTTGGAGGTCTAATTCAACATCTGCGCTGGTAGATTTTTGGTTGAAAATTGGCCGAATCCGGCATGATCCCATTCAGTGCGGCCTATTCCCGCTCAGTTCGGTTCAATCCGGCTCAATCCCGGGCTTAGTCCGACTTGATGATTCTTGCTGGTACAAAGACCTCTCAGGAGGTGTTTCCTAAGTGGTGCCGCGGAGTGCCCCCCCCCGTCCGCCCCCCGCTCCCCCTCAGGCAGGCGATCCTCGCGTTCCTCTCCGGAGGTGCGCGCCCAGCCCCGCCTTGGGCGTCGCGTAATGGGGGACGAAATGAGGGAGGGGCAGCGAGGGCTGCAGAAAAGGGGGCCCGGAAGGCCCCCTAAGTGGCCCCCTGAAGGGGGCCTTTTGTGCCCGAGAAGTGCTCCTTTCTTCCCCCCCCATGTGGGCGACGGAAGAAAACGAGTCCAACTGCTCCGACATTGGCGCGTAAGCTGCCCGCGTAGGGTCGCGCGTGAGCGCCGTCGTTTTCAAAGTGGCGTGAAGCGCCGGCGGCTCGCGTGAGCCACCGCGTAAGGTCGCCATGTCATCTCGCACGAGACCCGCTTTTGATCCTTGCCCGTTTGTCTTGGCACCGCTCGGACGTGTGCATCCTTGCCCGGCGAGAGCTCTCGAGGAGCGCCTTGCAGCCTCTCGCAAGCAATTGCGCACGAGATCGAAGAGTGCACGGGGAATGTGGGGAAACCGAAAGGTACCGGTACCGCCACTCCCTGGACCTCTCCCGGGGTGCGTTCTGGCCAGGATTTCTAAGCAAATCCAGCAGTGGCGACGAGGGACTCCCTGGAGGCCCGAAAAGGGAAATATGAGGGAAGGGTAGCGGTATGGGTATCTTTTCTCCCTCTGAGAATGGACGTCCGAGCGATGGCAGGCGATCGCCCCCCCCCCCCCCCCCCCCCACATTAAGCGACGCCCAGCCGCCGCCCCCGCTCCTCCGCTCGCGGGGCGTTCTCCTCCGCCTCCTCTTCCCCCTGCCCGCCCGCCCCCCCCTGCAGGCCTCCGCCTCCCCCCTCCCCCTCCCGCCTCCCCTGGTCCTCCTCCTCCCGAGCATCGGGCCGCACGAAAGGGGGGGGATAGGGAAAGGGGGGGGTTACGAAGTCTGCTGCATGCAGCTGGCTTCGGCCCCGCCGCCGGGCCCATTCCTCGATGCATGCGCGCCTCCCGTCGCCGGGAGGCGCTGGGAAAATCAGCTACGCGAGCTGATTCTCAAACTCCTCTTTGCTCCTCCTTTCGCCCGGCCCGAGAGGAGCGGGTCGACTGCAGAAGCGACTTGCCCCGAACATCGATTTACTCGTCGAGTCTGCGAGCCACTGGCGTGGAAAGCCCCGCAGATCGACGAACCTTCTGTGCGCATTGTTCTGAAGTTCGACGAGACAATGAATTTTGGGGCGCACCAACTCTGTAACCGCGTGCGGGCGATAATACAGTACCCCCCCTTAAGGCTCTCTATTTTTATTTTCCCCGTTCAACAGGATTCAATTATGGATTAGGGCGCGGGGGCCGAACTTTATGATCCACGGGGGAAGTTGCGAATCGAAGTTGCTATCATCTCATGTTGACTAGCAACAGCATCAAACATAGCAAGAGCAAGTCGTAGGCTCGAGCCTCGAGGTCTCTCGAGTCAGTCTTGTTCCGAGCGCCTGCTGTCAAGTTGTAGCCACGAGCCTCGAGACATCCCGAGTCAGTCTTGTGCCGAGAGCCTGCTGGCAAGTTGTATAGCCACAAGCATCGAGATCTCTCGAGTCAATCTTGTGCCGAGCGCCCAGGATCACCATCAGCATGATCATCGTCATCATCATCATCACTTCACCTTCCCCGGGAAAATCCTGATTCTCCCAGCCAGACCCCCGAACTTTATTATCCCCCGGGTATTATTATAGCCCGCGGTCGGTTAGTCGATCCCCTGCTCGATTCCTTCGCCGGCGGAATCCGAACCCTACCCTCGCTGATCAACGACCGGGGGAATTTGAAGACTCGACTGCGCCGGAACTCGGGTTTGCCGACGCTTTTTGACGAGCGTGTCGTGGAATTTGGCGCTCCAGTTCTCGTGGGATGTTTGCAGAGGGAGCGCGCGTCAAACTTCAGAATGCGCCTCGCCATTTTCATGATGGCCCCGTCAGGGCATTCCGAGTCCCCCCAACCCGAGTCTCACGTCTCCCCGAAACGATTCAGGCAACTCGATGGGCGGCGGGGGCAGGGCTCGGAATTCATCGAACACGTGGCGAAACCCGAACCCTCCCCCCACCCCCCATGTTGTTCTCAGGAGAATCGATGGTTCGTGGGGGTAGGGTTCGGATATCGCCACCTGTCCCTCCCTCCTCGATCCTCCATCCTGCTCCTCCCAGCTCGGCCGAGACGCTGGTGGATGCGATGGGCTTGCGGGTTTCGAGGCGATTGTGGGAGAGGCGTGGGTGGGCTCGACTCGTTTGCATGCGAGCCACCGCTTCGCTAGATCTAAGCAGTATGGCTTGGTTTTCTGTATGGACTGCGGGTTTACCGCTGCCACCGATGAGAAGTGGCTGTCCAGAGAGTGTGCCCCCCCAACCGAGACAAGGGGGAACTCAAGCTCGAAGTCGCAAAGGGTTGTTCCCGTCGTAGTCGAAGTCCACCGGTGGCCATGAGAGCGGCGGCGACTCAGGATTTTATGGAGCGAGCCCCCTCCCCACCCCCTGGGGAAGGCACCCAGAGTGCGAGCGTCGTCGCCACGCCGATGGGGGGGGGGCTCCGATTGGCGTGCATGGGGTGCACGACAATCTTCGCTTTTCCATCCGCTCCCCCAGAGAGACCTCGGACAGCATGACCCTCTTGGAGGACTTCCCGCGCCCGCTTGCCCCGCGCACCAGGCCAGTCCGGCGAGTACGCGCCCCAGAGCGGGCAGATTGCCGGGGCCTCGGGGTCGCCGAGCGTGCGCCGGTGCTTGTCGGCATAGCGCGCACGGGGCGGCTGAGGGCGCGCCCTTGGGGCGGCCGTGCAAGCGGCCCGGCGGCCTCTAGGAAGGCAGGGGCCCTCTCGGGGTGTGGAGGCTCGTGCTCCTTGGAGAGTCGGGGAGGCATTCCGAGATCCCAAGGTCGGGGACCAAGCAACAGCGCAAACATGTCGGCTCGGAGGTCCGCGCGGATTTCTCGGGTCGGCGCTGGGCCCCCTTTTTTTGGCGCACGCAACGCGCAGGGGCGGCGCCGGAGGCGCCGCCAGTGGGCTCCGGCGTCGATCCGAGAAATCCGCGCGGACCGTTTTATGTTTGTGTCCGTGTTTGAAAGTTTGGTCCCTTACCAGGAGCCGTCTGCCTTCGCCCCAGAGCCACCAGCCTTCTTCCCAGAAGGCCACGCCCCTCTCGCCACCCCCTTCGGTGCGCCGCCCGGATCGTTCGCCAGTGGTTGCTGCCGCCTCGCCGATGGTCCAAAAGGGTTCGGCGACACCCAAAAAGATGGTGTGGCTGCGCCGGGCTGTGGTTTGCGATCTGCGTCGTTGGGGCTCGGGGGGCATCACGTTGCCCTGGTCGGGCCCCCTCGGGGCGCGGTGGAGAACTCTGTCGAGGTCCTGGTCCTCGCCCGCCCCCAAGGGCGCGGGTTGCAAACCACACCCTTGGGAGTCGCCGAAGGGTGCTGCGTGCTCGTTCGTCAATTAGCTCCTGTCTGATCTGTCGGTAGAGTTGTCGTTCTCTGATTGATCATACAGGTGCCTAGTCCTAAACCCAGAGCGATATCGGCCATCGCTCGTGTTTCCTTCTGGAGGTCTCAGAGGTTCTTTGGAAATCTCAAGAAGTACCCGCAAGTCTCCGGAGCTTTGAAGAACGTCCGAAATCATCCGCAGCCAGCCCGGGAGGCTTTGAACACCTCCTTGTTCCCCCAAATCCCAGACGCCGTATTTTTTCACAATTTGATCCCACAGAGCACCCCTTCCCCACGGACAGGCTTTTCATCGCGAGTAGCTGTTTGACCGTCCTGGAGCCCAGTGAGGGCCCCAGGAGGCCGAAAACGTTCAAAAACCATTCGTCTTTTCTGCCTTACTCCCTTCACTCCTCCTCGTCCCCAGCTGCCCCGTCCTCCTCGAGGTGCCCGAGCGCCACACCCAGAGCAGAGAGGGAGAGAGAAAGACAAAGAGAGAAGAGAGAGAGAGATGGAGAGAAAGATAGAGAAGGAGTCAGGGACAACGTTTGGGAGGGATAGGCTCATGGGGGGATGCATCGGCCAAACCGAGCGGTTTCGCCACCAGTGGCCCGTCGCCGACCTCCATCCGCGGTGCACGTTGGAGTCCAGGTAGACGCTTGCCTCCCGGAGCCGGTTCCCCTTGCAGTTGCCCCGCAGAGAGAGGGAGAGAGAGAGAGAGAGAGAAAGAACAAAAAAAACATACTAAAAAACAAACAACAACAAAAAAACACACACAAAAAAGCGCGCGCACGCACCCGCGCTCGTGAGAAGCCACCTGCTCCGCAGTGCCGTTGCGCGGCGCGCTCGGGGTCCTCGCCGCCCCCCGCCCCCTCGCCGTGCCTACCACCGCCGCTGCCGGCGCCTCGTTTTTTGCGGGCCTCCAGGGGAGGCTTCCCGTCGCCACGGACGGCATCTCCGCGCCGGGGGAAAGACAGCGGGCCAGCAGGGCCCCCGCGGAGGGGGGCCCCCGGGGGCTGCTTTTTTTGGAGCGGCCGCGGGCCGTGCGAGAGGGCCATCGTCATCTCGCTCCATCTGCCTTCCTCCAGGAGGAGGAGGAGGAGGAGGAGGAGGACGACGGCGAGGGCGAGGACGAGGACGAGGATGAAGAACGGACCGTTAAGTTTTCGAGAGGCCCTCTTTTGACCCTCCTGGAGCGTCGTTGCCGCGGCCTGGCCCCCGCCTTCGAAATCCTCGAAAGCCTTCGAAATCCTGCCGCGCACCAGAAAAGGCTCCGGGGCCGATTTGGAAGGGGGAGGAGCAAGGCACTCCGGGCGCCGCGTGAAGATCACGACGACAAGTTTTGCCTCGATTTCGGCGTCCATGGGACAGTCGGATCCCAGGACGGATCCCAGGACGGTCGAAGAAGAACCCGTTGTTAGAATCTCATCTTGCGGATTGAATCGGGAGCTCTGGGGAGTCGCGTCGTGGAGCAGGCACAACGTCGGAGGTTACGTAGGGGAGGATGGGGACGAGGAGAGAAAAGAAGGGAGAGCAGGGATTGGCGCGAGGACGAAGGCGAGAGAAGGAGGACGAGAAGGATGACGGGGAGATGGAGAAGGATGAGGAGGAGGAGGAGGAAGAGGAGGAGGATCTCGATTTCCCCTTTTAAGCCCTCACAGTATCGCCTTCACCGTCTCTCTCCCTTCCCCCCCTTCGTCCTTCTCTCCCTCGTTTCCCTGCTCTCCCCCGTCCTCATCTCATCGCCCTCGGCCCCCTCCCGCTCCTCCTTCTTATCGCCCTCCTCGTCTTCCCTCGTTCCTTTCTCACCTCGTCCCCCATGTGTTTGTATATGCATGTGTTTGGTTATGTCGTATCTATATTTCTCTCTCACTCTCTCTCCCCCTCCCTATCTCTCACGCGATCTCTGCCACGTCCTTCCTACATCATTACCTGTCTCCTCTGTCGATATATATATATATATATATATATGTATATATATATATTCCTCGCCAGCAGCATCATCATCAGCATCATCAGCATCATCACCATCACCATCATCATCAGCATCATCATCAGCAGCATCATCAGCATCATTATCAGCATCACCATCATCAACATCGCCATCACCATCACCATCATCATCAGCATCGCCATCATTATCCTCATCCTCGTCATCATCATCGGCATCATCTCTATATTCGTCATCTCCCCTCCTGTTCCTCCTCCTCGTTGCCTCTGCACGCTCTTCTTGTGGACCTGGCCGAGACCGGCATCCTCAAGCAGCTCTCGGAGGACATGTCCAAGTCCTTGGCCGACGCGACCGAAACAGAGGAGAAGGCCATCGCGACCTTCGAGGAGCTCGCCTGTCCTTCAGCACGAGCGAGAGAGGTCCTGCACGACAGGGCTCCAGCGTTTTTGTCGCCGTTTTCGGACGCTGTGGTCCCCCACGGGGCCTCATGGCTGCCGAAAGTTTATGAATCGGACTTATGCATTTTTCCTCGGCGAGGGCCATCGAGGAGCATCCTGGATCATCTTGAGAAAAATGAGCGTGCGACACCGAACAATGCACGGGGAATAGATCTCCGAGCGATGGCAAGATCGTGTATAGAGACATAGCTTCTCGGAGGTCCGTACAGATTTCCTGGGTCGTCGCTGGGCTTCCAGGCGGCGCCTCCGGCGCCGCCACTGGCGCGCGTGGCGTGCCAGGAGGGAGGCCCAGCGCCGAGTCAGGAACGCCGCGTGGACGACTCGTGCTCGCCGTAGCTCGTTGGCGTTTCCCGAGGCGCCACCGGTCCTCGACCCAGGAATGGTACGCTGCATAGCCTGGCGGCCTTCGGAGCCGAGCATCCATGCGCCGTGTCGCGTCAGAGCGGGGCCTGAATAGAGTTCAAACGAGGTGCGGTGCATGTGCGCCGTTCTCAGGACCAGGGACTTCTTCTTTCGTGCCAGCTTCCCATTCTTCGCTATGCTCAGCACTGCCGTGGCCTGCTCCTGTGCAGGGGGAGAGTATTTCTGGGGGGGGTCACGGCGATCCAGTTGCTGGACACCTGCGAGGCTGTGTGGCCATGAATTGGCCTGGGGGCGACGCCGGGCAGGAGTGAGACAAGAAAGTAGCTCACGCGCGAGAACAGCCCCGCACCCTCCTCGCTACAAGCTCAGCATAGGGGGCTGCAGGAGGAGGCGGAGGAGGAGGAGCGAGGAGGAGGAGGAGGAGGAGGAGGAGCGATGACAAGGACGAAAGTCTGGACGCCCTTTCTCTTTTTCTGGATCTTCGGGGGGCTCTCCGCCACGGCAGGAGCCGCTCCTGGACCCCGGTCGGGACGCGGCCTGAGACAGATCGGAGGTGTGCGATTTGGATGTGGGGGATGGGGGCGCGGCGCGATGTCGTGTGGGCCTCGTGAAAGGAGATGACCGTACTCTGTTGCCCCCTTTGGGCGGAGCCACTTGACCGTGCCGACGAGCTGGTTCAGGACTTTGTCCTGGATGACAGCCCAGGCCAGCGGTTGCTCCTGGCTCCCGGTACTCTTCTCTCTCATTTCCACGACGTCGTCCATAAGCTCCACGGGTTCTGCGGTGCCCTCGGGCTTCAGTTCCTTTTCATCCGGGCTCACCAAAACACGTAACGTAAAGCCTTTACTGCGCCTGCCGCAGGGCTCCGAGGCGGGCATTTCGATTGAAAAACACAATGTGCACCGGTGGGGGAATCAACAATCATTATTCGAGAACGCGAGTTCAATCACTTTAAGATTGTTCGCCCTTACCTGCTTGCGGGTCACTAACATGTATATCTCAGACCATCGATACTCGCCCTCTTCGTTTTTTTATCGTGTTCCCATCTTTGGTATATTTTCCTTGCCTCACATGTGTAGTTGGCGCAGCCCCTGTACCAGGATGAGGAAGGGAGGAGGGGGAAGGGACGAGGGAAGGGAGAAGGATGGAGCACGAGAGAGATTAATTGGCATGAGGAGGTCAGGAGCTAGAAAATAGGCGGCCTAACTAGACGGGAGGTTCGGGCGGGTCGGGCGGATCGGGCCCTGGTCGTGCCCAGGCGGCCGGCTCGAGCGGGCGGGTCGCTGGAGCGTCAGTCCTGCATGGATCGGCAGGATGTCTCGAGCGACAGCGCGATTCCAAAGTAGATGCTAAGGAATCCCAGAGCGATGGCGCGATTCTGGAGGGTCGAGGGCGCGGCGTCTGAAAGCATTGCGAGGAAGTCCCACGCGAGAGCGCGGTCCCTACATGCATCGGAAGGAGCTCCCGCGCGAGATCGCGGTTCTGAATACAGAACGAGGATTTATCCAGCGGGCCACAAACCCAGTCTGAGGCGCAAGACTTCCCCTAGTAATTGACAGGATGCGAGCCCCAGGAGGGGCACTTCAATTAAAATTACCCCAGTGCGACCCTACCTAGAAGTTGGAGCCCCTAGGAAAGCAGCACTAGTTGCTATGCTCTGCTCTGCTCTGCTATGCTGCGCTGCGCTGCGCTGTGCTGTGCTGTGCTGTGCTGTACTGCGCTATGCTATGCTATGCCATGCTATGCTGCGCTATGCTATGCTATGCTGGACTATGCTATGATATGCTGTGCTGCGCTATGCTATGCTACGCTATGCTATTATATGTTGTGCTCTGCTATGCTAAAGCTGAGCGAAACTAAGATGGAGGTAAGCTAAGCTAAGATAAACCTGAGCTAAGATGAAGCTAAGCTAATCTAAGATGAAATAAGCTAAGCTAAGATGAGATAAGCAACGCTAAGCTAAGGGAACGTCACTGGGGGAACCGCGGGGCGGATGCCGGGGGAACCGCCCGGGCGAGGACCACTGCCCGGCCCTTTAAGCTTACCGAGTAAGAACCCCTCTAGGCAAAGCCTAGGTAGGAAACAAAAAAAACGACGGGCACCGGAGGAGGGGATCGACGATAAATTAGAATGGTAGGTTGGTTGGGGTTGGAAGGTGGACTTGTATCTGTTGTATCTGTCTCGGCACTAGAGCCAGATGAGCACATGCATTCATCCATCGGCGTGAGGCTCGAACCCGCTAAGGAAGCGAGGGTACAGGCAGTGTCACCCAAAGTGCTGCCCGAGCTAACGAAAAATCATCGCTGCGCGCGACTGTTGCCGCATTCCAGCGCACAAACAGCCCGCACCGCAGAACCCCACTCGAGCCGCGCGCCCAGGAGCAGTGAAGGACCCTTCGGCCCCCTTACTTGGACGAGGGAGCGTCGAGGTCTGAGATTATGGGCAAATGCTCCAGCACCACTACCATATGTAGGATTGGGGAGAAGGGAGGATGGGGAGGTCTTCCTCCTCCTCCTCCTCCTGCTCCTCCTCATGTTCCTCCTCCTGCTCATACCTATGGTAGTAGCAGCAGCAGCAGCAGCAAGAGGTCATACACCCGGAGGTGCGTAGGAGTCAGGATGGGAAACACCTGCAACAATTACAATGCAACCGGGCCACGCTGCGCTACGTGGACAGCTTCGCTGTACGGACAAAATGCTGCCAGGAAGCTTCGCTAGTCAGGAATGGGGTCGAATTGACCATGTCGCCTGCCGCTTTGCAGGCAACCCGTAGCACTTGGGATGTCCAGTCCGTACGCGGTTTGCCAATTTTCCTCACGTAATCGTCTGAAGTTGGCCGGAAAGACCCAGGGCAGAAGGTGGTTTCTCTTAGGGGTCTCCTTTCCTGGCGACCTGGCGGCTTTCCCTAGGAGGAAGAGCTGTGTCGAGCTACTGTTTCTGATAAAAGGGGTTGCCCTGTAGTGTCTAGGACGATTGCATTGCCCACTCTTGAAATACACGCAGGCGCAATCCTCCAGATCGCGCGGAGGCACTGGCAATGGAATCCATCCAAACGTCTCCAGCCAGCAGCACTCAACCACAAAGTTGATAATCCGTACGTCATTTTGCTAAGAACCACCGCCTTGTAGTTTCAATTGTTGATGTCGGCTGAGACTTGAACGCCGCCATGGCTTTGAGAGCTTGTCGAAATCTGCCTGGGCTGCGCCAAGACGGCGAGAAAGCTCTCTATTCGCGTCCCCGGCTCCAGAAATTAAAGTTCTCAAATGGTTCATGTCTTCTCGCGCAGGTATGATATTACTTTGCGTGTATTAAATATTGCGTTCACACCTTATCTGGAGTAATTGCAACTTGTCTGGGTGCAGCTTCATACCGTAACATCTGCCAGCATGCTGTATAGCGTCAAGTACTTGTTCCACGCCCTCCTTGGTCCTTCCCAGTATCAGCGTGTCGTCCGCATACAGCAGGACTGACACTGATCCACGTTCCCACGGTTGGCAGTGTTCTTCAGGAGATTGAGCAGCAGCGTCCTCGATGATGACTGTCATTGTCATGACGAAAAAGAACGGTGACAAGGGGAATCCTTGCGATATAAAAGACAACTGGGGCCTCGAAGACGAAGTCACCCCACAATCTCGCACCTCGAAGCACCTGTCTGTGCACATAGATTTTATGACTTCCACCATGTGCTCTTGCAAGCCGAAGCGCCGCAACCCTCGCAGCATGGCGGAGTCGAACGATCTGTTCCAATCCATGGCCAGTGCGAACAAATTACCTCTCGAGGTTCCAACCTCCGGGTCGGGTCGCCTTCGGAGTGCAAAGATGGTTTCTTGCGCCCCGTGCTCTGAAGCCAAATTTGGAGACCCCGTCCGCCCGGACTCCGCCCCTGCCTCTCCACCGGGGCGCCGGTGCAGTAATGACGCAGAGGTTTTGTACCCAAGGACGGGCAGGCTGCGTGGCCGGTGGTCTGCACGGTCGTCTGTTCTCCAAAGGCGCTTGCCCTGCAGGCGTCTTAGCTCATCATCAATAGTTGGTCTTGAGGACTTCCCTCTTTTGCCTATGGCCCCCCCCAGTTTTTTTCCAATGGCACCCCCCTCCAATGGCTTCCTCTCCTCCCGTCCTCTCCTCCTCGTCTTCTCCTTCTCTCGCTCTTCTCCTGTCCATCTATCTTTTTGGAGTCAGCGTTGGCTGACATTATGCTTTTCTTATCTGAAATTGTCACCCTCGCTCTGCGCCATTCTTGTGGTATGACCCGGCCTTGCCAGCAGTGGTTAACAAAATCCGCAATGCGCTGCTGCAGGGCGTCGAAACAGTCCGCGAGACCTTCCAATGTTCTGGCGGCGTGCCGTCCAGCCCAGGGTCTATTCCACCGTGTAACTTCCGCAAACAAGCTTTGACTCCGTCCCCTGTGAAATTGGCCAGATTGACGGGCAGCGTGTCTCCAAGAGCCGGCGTATCAAGTACACTGGCTGGTCGCACGCCCCCTTGTATCTTCTCGAGGTATGTTGCCATGGTGTCAGCCCATCTTCACTACTTCCGAGTTCTCTCTGCAAACTCCACAGCCGGCCCTGCTTAGCTAATTGTGTATTGCGGATATTCCGAATATCTTCCCAGGCCTTTTTCGCAACGGAATGTTCCAGCCACTTCGCCTTATGTTACCGCGCTGATTTCCGCACGGCTGTATGCTTTTCCTTCTCGACCGCGGCCTTCCCGTCCACTCGGGCTTGCGATCTTTCTTGAATGATCTGCACAGTCCTGTCGCTGATCCAAGGTCGCCCGGGGATGGGGTGGTTCGTCTGGAAAGTCCTCGGCTGAAACCCCAATTGCTGTTGAGATGTCTTTCCATCTGTCTTCGACCAGATCTCTGACGTCCTGGAATGTGTCCAAGATTTCCAAACATGTCGTAATATTTGTTTATCTCGTGCCGGGGACCTGCAATTTGCTTCGTTGTTTTTCATCTACCCTGTTGGCGTGGTTGGGATGCGTTTATGCTTATGTCGAGATTGCTGCGCACCAGGAAGTGCCGCGAGGCCAACTTCTCGCCCGCTTGCAACAGACAGCATAGGCTCCATGTAGGTGCCCAGCTGCTCTTCGGGAACGTCTTGAAATGTGCTGCTGATGCTGTATTCCTGTACCGTGTAGAACTCCATCAAGAGATCCCGGTTCGGGTATTCCACTTTATGCGTTGTTTTAGGATCCAAACGTATGTATTCCAAACACGCGTTCTTCACCACATCGTTGTTGACCGAGCCGTGCGTTCAAGTCTTCACAGGCGAGCTTGAACCGATTCACAGATACCGTTCACATATTTTTTGTCCAAACCTAAATAGATTGTAATATTTCTGGCAATGGTCGGAGGTTGTGCGGGGCGTAGCCTGTGATGAGCGCGTGCTGACCTTTGCACCTCTGGATTTTCAAGCACGCGAGGCGGTCGGAAAATTGCAAAAAGCCACGTATACAAGAGGTCACGCGTGGTGCGATCATGAATCCCATTCCTGATACAGATCTGGCTTCGTCGTCTGTGTTCTCGGAGCCCGACAAAATAACACGGTAGCCGTTATTCGTATAGCATTATGTTTTCGAAGTCCATATCTCTGCAAGGCAGAGACAATCGATATTGCAAGCACGCATTGTTTGGCAAAGTGTGTAAAGCTTCTCGTCGGTCAGGCCGGTAACATTCCACGTAGCAAGTGTAATGCGCAATTTTTGTTGCACCAGAGGAGGAGCGTGGGTGTGGGCAGGCCGACGGCGCTGAAAAATTGTCAGGTAAACTTGTGTCCTCGCCCTCCGGGCCCCTTCACTTCCCCGCACTCTTCCCGCTCCCCTTCCCCTTGTCTGTGGCGCGGCTCAGGGCTTGCTCGCAGGACTCGCGGAGTTTTGTGAATTCCTCGTCGTTGTGGAGGTCTGCCCAAGTATCTCATTCCGCACTGTGCCACGTAATCTGCAACGCCCCACGGGCAGGGCAAATTGATAGGATGTCGTCGCCCCCCGCCTGCATGGAGAGCGTCTGATCGTTGACTTGGATCTTTTTAAAACCCCATTGCCCCAGAAGCCTTTTGAGACCAAAAAGACACCGACTTGGGATCATAATGTTGGCTGGCTTATCATCGTGTGCCCAGATCTTTTCTTATGTCAGATGGGAATTTTGCGCAACGTGTTCAATGTCGTTTCCGTGTCTGCGTTTTTATCATTTTAGCGAAGACCACGCCGCTGAAGATTTGCCCCTCCATGTAGAGCTCGGCCGGCGCTGGCACCGTCAATTTGTTGAGCTTTTGCTTGATGAACCCTTCTGCCTCTGCCAACGACCCCAAGTCTTCCAAATTCCAGACAATGATGGTGTCGGTGTCTACATTGCTGCACGTCGTCGCCTTACCAGACTGTCGAAGAAGGGCAATTTCACGCTCAAATTCTGTGAGCTTCGCCTGCGCATCGGTATCAACGGACTCTCCGGATGCAGACCTTGCCGAAGCGAGCTGGGAAGAGAAATTCGTTTCCAGGAGGCCCACCTTTTTGGTCAATTCGTCAATGTTGATTTTTGATCAGGTTGACCGCGTCTTTGAAATCCTTGTGTGACACGCCATGTGTTTTGATTTATTGGATGTCATGCTTGATGGGGTCCAGGTGGTGGTTCAAGATCGCCTCAAGGCCCTCAGCGGTCAGGGGGCGGTCCGCTGCAGCTTCCATATAGTCCTGGAATTGTTGTTGGCGTAGTGATACTGCTCCAGGGTCTTGCGCCACAGGCTGTGGCTCCTGTGACGTGCTGCCCCCCGTCCTGGCCTGTTTGAGCGCACTCTTTCCAAGGGTATCCATATAATGTTTTACGCTGGCATCTTCACGTGAGTTGCGAACGACACGAGCACCCAGATCATATCGAAATCTTTTCTGTAACAGTGAATGAATGTTGGAGCGCGATTGTAAATAGGCAGTAAGCGGTTAGGAAGGAGATGATCAGGTCTTTAGCCAAGAGCGCTTGAGCCAAGACCAATGGTAGTGGTGGTGGAAAATGGGCCCATCGTGAGAGGGCTCTGGCCCACCTGCGCCGATCCGAAGTGGTCTGACTGTCCCCGACTGAGGCCGGTCGGCGGGCCCGCTGGCGGACTCGCGCTTCCTGCGTGTCCTGCGTCTCGGGAGGCCCGAGCAATTACGGTCAGGTGGGGCAAAACGCACTGACGCAATTAGTCGTCGATTACCCCCGAACATATGGGAAAAAATGGGAGGTGGGGTGGGGAAGACGAGAGTCCCACGATATGGAAAAATATAGGAAATCTAGGGATGTTCGCGTATTTGTTGCTTGTGTGTCCCTAGGCCTTTTCATACAGTCGGGGCCTTGAACAAGGAACGCTTTTCGTTGGGGAGGGGCTCGGTGTTCCTTGATTGTTTCACAGCTTGCCTCAGGTTTTCCTTATGTTTCCGATGGGAAATCGGAGTTTAACTTGTGGAAAAAAGGGGCCTCGCTCCTTATTTAGGGTTCCTTAGGTCAACGCCCCGACTGTACTGACCTGACTGACTGAGGCCTTAAGACGGCAGTTCCACGGCTGAGTTGAGTGGTCAGAGCACTGCTCGGACGGCTCTGGCGGCACTTGAGCAACACCCCTCGGAGCCCAGCGTTGACCTTGTTGTTTTTTGTCTGTTCTGATCCCTGCCCGCTTCGAGGAAACGCAAACACGGAGTGAAGCTCGTGGATTTTGGCGACGGGGTCCGCTTCCGTATTACGACATCGGCGCGCTCCGTCGCCACTGCAGGCGGGCATTGGTTTCAATGTTGCGGGGATATCTCCCTGGATGCTCACGCGCCAGATCCACGGATCCCTATTCACCGAGCGTGTTACGTCAGAAAAATACGAAAGAACACAAAAAAACACGTTTGCCTCGATGTGATGGATCTTAGATTCCGCGCGGCGGATCCAGGCTATTTGCGAGCAGTTATTTTGCGAGTAGTGGAACGCGCTTGTCTACTAATTGATGTCAGCGCGTGCCCGACCCATCCCCTGCCCAGGAGCTCGTGAAGGCCAAGACGAAGGAGATCAATGCCTGCACCGAGTCCGTCGAGACCAAGACCCGCCGGATCGGGGAGCTCGGGGTGGCGCGGCGTCACCTTTCCCCCCACATCTCCAGCAGGGGACCGATTGCAAAATTTACATGTTCGTCGATTCTACGACAAACACGAAGAGACTGTCCGCAGATCCACGAGGCATTTGATGCACTTGTCGTAGAGTCGACGAAAAATCCAACCTTGGGGCAAATCAGTCTGTAGTCGATCCGCCACGCAAAAACATACACAGACTTTCCTCACTGGATTGTTCCTGGGCCTCAGCAGCGTATGAATCACCACTGAGAGCCAGCGACTCTATACCCCGTCCCCTCCCTGAAGGTGCATACAAATGTCGCCAGAGGGTGTCTGTGTATATATGTTTGTGGCGTCGTCGATCTCCGAATTAATAGGAGGAGGAGGATGAGGAGGGAGAGGGGGAGGAGGAGGAAGAGGAGGAGGAGAAGGAGGAGGATGAGGACGATCTCCGAATTAATCACTCGAATACCTCCGACGGGGTGTGTTCTGCTCGGCGCCGGCGCCTCCCCTCGAGGTCGGCTTTTCCAGGGGCGGCTGCCTGGAGGACCGCCCCCCGGGGGTATGTCGCAGGCCCAGAGACTGATTCCACCACGATTCTACGACGATTCCATGTCGAATGTGCTCCCTCCCTGGAGCCAGTCCCCCCCGAACGTTATGCATCATGAAACGTACTAGTTTCGCTACCAGCCACGGCTCAGCTGCTCTTTGCTTTCGATGCGGGCGCACTCGTGAGCGCCTCTGTCCTCTCGCAGGCCCAGAGGTTGACACCAACACCAATATCGGCGGCCTTCCTCCACCGAGGGAAGAGGATCCCGATCTCGGTGGTGGTGGTAATATTCTGGCTTCAGGGTGACCGAAATATGACCACCGACACCGAGCTCGAGGCTCATCTTCCCCCTGTGGAGGCACCCCCCCGTATTGGAGTTGGTGCCAATTTCCAGGCCCCCTGGGGCTATGGGCTTGGGACCTCCGTGGCTGTGCCGGCGGATCAGAGCTGCAGCACGTGGTCAGGAGCTCGTCGAAGCCCTCCACCCGTCGGGGCGCGAGGGGCGGGGGTCCATGCAGACGGGGGTCGAGCAGAGCACCGGATCCAGGGCTCATTTCGACTCCGATTCGTTTGGTTTCGATTTCGATGACTTCCGACTGCGATTCGATTCGACTTGGGATTCCGATGTGTGTCCCGAGTTCTTCTTGGACGCAGACTAGCCCGCCGATCTCCGCCGATTCGACTTTTTCGGACTCGGCTGCCGATTTCCGCCGATTCGATTCGTTTCGATCGCCGATCCGACTTATGGATTCGATTCTGGGGTCTTCTGCGGATCTTGCATGATCCTGCAGGGCCAGGGGCGCACTGACCCAGGCTTGGGTGCGGGACCCTGCAGGATCTTGCAGGATCCGGCAAGGCCTGACTCACCCGGGTCAAGATTGACCCAGGTCAGCTGATCCCCGACCCCGCCCTTCGTGGGCGAGACACATGATTATCCGTATCTGCGGCCTCGCGGATCGGGCCCCAGAAGCCGCGCATCGCCACCCACCAAATCATCCCAACCCAGCCCGAAGGCCCCAATTTGCCCCCCATTCCCAACGGGGGGGGGGGCGTCGGGGAACACAGAACAAAGCACACGAGGGACCCGCACCCCCCCATCCCGAAATCTGCAGCCAGCGTGTCCGCGGGATCGCGCCCCGGAGTCCAGACCGCGAGGGGCGTGGCCGCGGACATGCGCGCCGCTCGCGAGCCCCCGCGCGGGCGCCGCTGCAGGCCGCCGGCACCTCTCCCTCGGCGCCCTCTCGGGGGTTCCCAGACGTGGCCCTGGCCCCGGGTGGCCTCAGCTCTCCGGGGGAGGCCCAGTCCAGAGCACCCCCATCGCGAGGCCCAGATGGCTCCAGCGACCCCAGAATGGGGCGAAAAAGTTTGGAGCACGTTGGGTCACGACCGCTTCTAGCAACACCCGACGTTCCGCTCCGTAGCGCGCCCGTCCGTGAAGAAAATCTGACATAGGGAGTGGAAAAGGTGTGGGACAGTACACGGAAGCAGGCGCCTCGCTTCTGGATGCGCCTCTACCACAGGTTCCCTCGAATCAGTGGAGGGGAGATTTGTGGCTTGGGCCAGCTTCGTAAGCCTCCCTGGTCAAAGGACAAGACCAACTGACAGGCCAGGGCGTCCGCATGATCCGGTCTCTCCTCCTCCTCCTCCTCCTCCTCCTCCTCCTCCTCCTCCTCCGCTTCCTCCTCCTCCTCCTCCTCCTCCTCCTCCTCCTCCTCCTCCTCCTCCTCCTCCCAGTGCGCGGTCACGGGCCGCCGTGTCGGGCGCGGCCCGGTCCGGCTTCACCGCGCGGGAGCTCCCGCCGGAGGCCTCTTGCCTTCGACCGGGAGGCCTTTGTCTTCCAGTTCCCATGATGACCGAGGAGGAAGATCGAAGATCGCCGAAGAGGATGAGGAGGAGGAAGAGGAGGAGGATCGAGGATCGAGGGTCGAGGCACAGAATCGAGGACAGGAGCGAGGACCGAGGATCGAGGAGGATCGAGGAGGATCCTCAGGACGTTTGTTATTTTAATGTGTTTTTTCTCCTTTAGTCCCACCGGCAGCGTGAATCTTGTGTCAACCCTCATTGCACCAACCCGCGTCGTATCGAAGGGTTTCGGTGGACACGCACACGTTGGCGCCCTCACGCTCTCTTAGGATCATCGACCAAACCCCCTCGCGTCGTTAAACAAATCGCGGCGGATGGTTTGAACGTTTTCGGCCAGCGGGGGCCCTCGCCGGGCTCTGGGACCGTCAAAAACTACCCAGGATGTAATTGGTCCCGGGGAAGACGGTTTGTTTTGAAGAGTGAGGTTGAGTCTTGTTTCGTGTTGCAAACGTGTTGTTGTGATGTTGATCCGTGGAGTTCTCGTCTCGTCGGCACCCGCGCGCTTAGTCATCATAGCGTACGCCACCTAGCTCACACCACAATATGAGTTTACACCGCATACATTTCACCTACGCAGTGCAATATCTCATTGTGCGGGGTCCACGCTGGCTAACGTATACTTGTTTGCCCGCTAAGTGGCCAGGACGAGAGGGAGAAGGCTTCTTGGAACAGGTTTCCACCGATCTTCCTTGGTGGGGGCCTCCTCCTGGAGCCAGATTGGGGTCTTCGTTGGGCCATGTTGCGAATGTTAGGAACCCGCCTGAACCGTCTTGGGGACCTCTCGGGGCCATTCTGGAGCCTGGGCCATGTTGAAGCCTGTTGGGGCTCTCTGTGTGTCCTGGGGGTCTCTCGAAGGCCTCTTGTGTGCATGTGGGGGGGGCTTGGGTGGTCATGCTGGGGGGCCAGGTTCTCGGAGCCCCTGGAAGGCATCTCGGGCATCTTCGAGGCGTCGGAGGGTGCACGTGGAGGCCCAGGAGCCTGGGAGGTGCGCTGACGAGCTCGTCGCCCTGCCAGGTGTCCTCACACGCCCTTTCACTCCCAGCAGGCGGGGGTCGGCGGAATTTCTCGACTGTGCTCATTCCCATGTCCCCTTTCCCATTCGTCCTACTTTTGCATGGGAGTGCACAGTAGTGACATGTTGCTGCCGCTGGCCTTGCTGTCGTTTCATCCAGCCTGCATGGTTTGGTTTGGGATCGCTCTTCGGATGTGCGCCGGCAGCACTCGAACAGCATCGGCCGCAGGGCGCAGAGCAAGAAGGGCCAGCTCGGTCCCACACGGAGCCTCTCGCTTCGCGCCTTCCGCTGACGCTCAGCCCCCCTCCGCTTCGAGGGATGGTGACCGTACACCTAACGGCGGATGCCCTGTCCAGGTTCACCCGGGCGTGCGCCAGTGTGGCCTGCAGGGCCAGGAGGACACGTGCACCGTCTTGGGACCCAGGAGCAGCCCCGGCCAGGGTTGCTGCATGTGCTCAGCTACAGTCGAGACGGATAGTAAGGATGGGCAGTCTTCCGAAGGTTACCCTTGCATCCTTGCCTCCTCGGTTCGTCCTTATCCGGCTTCGATGGCCAGCCCCGCTCGAAGAGCCTCGACATGGGCGTCCAAGGGGCTTGCACCTTCACCGCGCATGCTCACTGTCAGTCTTGACGCTGCTGAGGTGTTCGATGAGGGACCCCTTGTGAAACGCAGCCGTCCAGCTTTTGCGCCGAAGAGTGCTAGGAACCGCCGAAGACCGCCGAGGACCGCGCAAGGCCGATGGGTAACAGGGTGTCCATGGTCGAATGCGCAGAGTCGGCGCCCGCCTGGTGTACAGCCAGCGCCCGCTCGCGAGGTGGCCATCGTGGAGATGCAGAACGACCTGGCGCTCACGCAGGAGTCCCTGGCAGAGGCTCCGCCGTAGGGGGGGAGGGCTCGCAGCGTGCCGTGCGCCGCCTCTCGGCGGCGTTGCCGTCGCCCTTCCCAGGGGGCTCCCGACCTTCAGAGCGCGGCCCCCACGGGGGTCCCGACCCCCACTCTGGGCCTCCCAGAAGAGGTCAGAGCAGGCGGGGTCGAAGGATCGCGCCACATCGCCGATGCAGCGGCGGTGCATCTCGATGTGGAGCCCGATGTTCTTCACGCCGACGCCGCCGATGCATCACCGACGTCGCCATCCATCGCCGACGCATCGGTGATGCATCGACGATGCGGCGTGATCCTCCGACCACATCTACTGTGAGCCTATTTGGTAGACCTCTTGTTCCCCAGGGAGAGCTCTCCGCCAGATACTAATTTCTGACGGCCCCGGGACCCGATAGCGGACCCCGGAGCCGAAATCGAGGAACAAGGCCGGGACCAAAACGAGTAAGTTTTTCTTCGGAGATGGTTTGTGCTTGTCGTCGATGAGCCAGTGCGCCCTCGTCCTCCTCGCTGTCGCACTGGCGGCGCGCACCCGACGGGCTTTTGATCCTGCGTCGCACCCGTCGAACCCTCGTCTGACAAGGTGATGTTCGCCGGTGCTGCCGCCCCGCTTCTCGCATGCACCCGTGCACGGC